AAGTATAATTAAGTTATATAACTTCAAGGGATTGATCTATAATAATAGTGCACGAGGATAAAAATTCACCACACATTGAGTTTGAACTTTAGAACCAACAATCATTAAAATTTCAATTATAACAAATGTATAGTATATATATATATATATATATATAACTTGTTATAAATACATTTATACTTGTATCTATGCACTTTTTAGACACTGTTAGCCCACATCATGATCATTCAACTTCATTCTTAGTAGCTCTGCAATATAGAAGAAACATGTATCTTAACCTGGTGAGATGCAACATGATATGTTTTCGTGGAAGTTGCAAAGTATATCATCACGGAGCCGACACAGCCGCAAAGAACGTGCAGACCTATTGGTCTCTGTTTGTCATCAACCAAGTGTGAATAGCTATAAGAGTTGAAGGAAATGGCAGCAGCATTCAAGAATAAGGTGGTCGTCTACGTGAATAGCTTGATTGAGCTCGACAGAGACGACCCTCAAAGTTGGAGCGACACTAACTATAGTGTCCATCGTGTACTACTGCAAGCCCGTGTATGAAGATTTTGGCATCTTTTCAATGTGTGGTGTCATGAAAGCCGTGGTCGCTCTGAATTCTCTGTCTGTAATGTAATCATTACTCCAATTAGGGCGGAAAGTTTGGTACTGGTATTTGGGATATACTGAATACCGTACCGAATTTATCACTATTTGGTATTATCGAATATCGGCTTATTTTTTAGGGATTGAGTTTGGGATTCATTTTGGAGTGCTATTCGGTATTCGGGATTACGGGATTGGAATCGGTATATACCGTAATACCGATAAATACCGAAAAATTAAAAATTAATGAAATATAGCACACAACCTTTAGTCATTCCTCACTCTTTCACAACTTAGAATCTCCCATCAAACTCAATTTTGACTTTCTATTTTAAGTCACTCTCGTCTCTCACCTAATATCTTGTTATTTTCATAACACCAAAAATAAAACACTAGTATTAGTCGTCTCTCAACCTCCAATTCATCAAATTAAAGATTACCAATGAAAAGAACTCGAGATGTCACCTCTCCTCCATTTTTTTATCCATATTCTAACTCTAGGCAAACTCAAGACTATTTGCTTAGTCTCTTTGCCCTAAATTAAACAATCATATCTAATGTATATATTTTATTATTAATTGCAAAAGTAATTAATTTCGCATTCGATAATACCGATTGGATACCGAAGTACCGATTGGGATATCGAAATATTTAGGGATTGAGATTGGGATACCGAAATATTTAGGGATTGAGATTGAGATACCCCTAATTACATATAACAACCAAAACCATATGAAGCAACTACAACTAAAGCAATAAAAAATAACATATATGACAATATAACATATATAACAACTAAAACCATATGAAGCAACTACAACTAAAGCAATAAAAAATAACATATATGACAATATAACAACCAAAACCATATTATGTTATATAACCATTTAAATTATACAATCAATGGGTAGGTTTGGATAGCTGGATTTGTATTTGTATTTTGGATTTGAATTTTAAAATCTCAAATATTAGTGTTTGGCAGCCCAACGGGTTTTGTATTTGGATTTCGGCCAAATTCAGGGTGGATTTCGGCCCATGTAAAAATAAGAATTTCAAATACAGCCTGAACAGTACCGATTCGGAAATCCAACGCGGAGGCAAAGCCACAATCATCGTCTTCATCGCCGCTTTCGTCCTTTCAAAACTCCATCTCCATAACCTAACTTGATCCATCCTGGCCTCCATGGAAAAGGATTAGCTTCCATCTCTTATTCCTCGGTACTGCCCACTTCCCTCCATCTACAACCCTCGCCTGCCCTCCATCGAAAACCAATGCGAAGGTCACAACCATCATCTTGTTCGCCGCATCTTGCCTTCCATATCGAAATTCTATCTCCTTAACCTAACTCGATTCGGCCTCCATGGACAACGATTAATCTCCTCCTTATCCACCGTCGCTGCCCACTGCACTCCATCCACAACCATCAACTCGTCTGCTCTCCACCGATAACCATTTGCTCGTTTCCCCTCTTCGTGTTCTTCAAATCTCAAAGGTAAGCCATACTTTGGAGTTGTTTGCTACTCGTTTGATACAACTTCTGAGTACTGATATTTCATTACCCAAACCCTTATGTGCAGATTTGACCGTCAACTTTTTATCTTACCCATCGGGTCACTGCCCTCCATCGACGACCACTAGCTTGCCTGACTATTTTGATTTGTTTGCTACTCCAGGTAAAATATTGTTGAATGTTTCAATTTTCTTGGTACTCTAGATTGAATTTGGTTTTGCTTCTGCAAACAAAGTTTCCATTGTCCCAGCCCATTCGTGTTCTCACCTTGGGCTTCAATTTGCAAGCTGAAAGTTTGTTGTTTTGTTATAGCCGATTTTGCTGCTTGCTCATACTACTATTTTTTATAACTTTGATGGGTTTATGAGTTTTGGTTGTTTGGGTAGTGGATTTGTGTTATTGGGTTCCTTGTTGTGGTGAATTTTTCCCATGTGAGTTACTTACCAAGTCAACAGAATATGCCCCCTGTAGCTTTTCTTCTTTACCTCTTTGTTGATTTGCTATAGCTAGGTCTCAAGTCAAGACTACGCTAGAGAAACCCCAGAGTTGATGTGTTTGGCTCTGCAGCAAACATATACCTCTGCCAAATGTAGTAGTACTCAAACATATACCCCCTGCCAATGTATTCTGATCACTACTTTCTTGCCAGATTGTATGTGTATCTGTATATATTGTTTTTCTTGTTCTTCTTTTTTAGTTACAGTTTCACCTGTTTTCTTTTTTCTTTCTACAGTAAATTATCATTGCGCCTAAAACTGAACCCTTATGCAATCTTTATGTGTGGATTTGCAGAACTAAAACAAACCTCATATGGATCATATATTACAAAGTATGGATGAAACTAAGAGAGAGATAGTTAGGTATAAACGTAAGAGAGATGACAAAGAGGAAGAAGAGGAGTTGATTGTGTTGGTAATTGTATTTCTGGTCGTTTTAATTTGTTCACTCTTTACGCCTGCAAAAAATGAGTCGTATGCTAAACTTTTTGAGCGTAGATTTTTTCGTAGAAGAGATCATTTAGATAATTTACTTTCTCAACCAATAAATGTTGAGCAATTACGCATCAAACCACAAGCTTTTGAGAAATTGTGTCGCATCTTGCAAAATAAGGGTGGTTTAGTGGCTTCAAGATATGTGTCTATTTCAGAAATGGTTGCGTTCTTTTTGCAAACCTTAGCGCATTGCATGCGAAATAGAACAATTAAAGCTACTTTCCTCCGTTCGGGGGAAACTATTAGTAGACATTTTCACGAGGTGCTACGAGCAGTTTTACATATCGGCAGTGATTATATCAAAGAAAGCACACAATTTCTTAGCTCTGGAGATGCTAAAAAATGGAAATGGTTGCAGGGAGTTAACTTATGTCTATTCAACTTTGGTTCTTACCTTTTACTCTAAAAAGCTCAATGTAAGATATATTGTAGGGTACTGTTGGAGCACTTCACGTGATCTTTCTTCCTTTAACTGTACCCTTTGAAGACGAGTCTAGATATCGAAGTAGAAAAGGCAAGATTAGTACAAATGATTTGGCTGTTTGTGATGCTAATATGAGGTTCACTTATGTTATTCCCGGTTGGGAGGGATCACCTTCAGATTCTCGAGTGTTGTGTGATGCTCTATCACGAGAAAATGGTCTTAAAGTTCCTAAAAGTAGGCTTCCGTGAACTCTTTCTAATGTTCTTTGGGTATTATCTATTAAAGATTACTTAATGATTCTTTTTTTTTCTTATTGATTTTGTAGATAAGTACTATCTTGTGGATGGGCGATATGCCAACGGGCCTGGTTTCTTAGCTCCTTACAGGGTGACTCGATATCGTTTAAAACTTTGGCGAGGGAACACTCCTAAGAACTATAAGGAGTTATTTAACCATAGATATTCCTTAGCTAGAAGTTACGTTGAAAGGCATTTGGATTGTTGAAGAAAAGATGGGGCATTTTGCGTGCCTCTGGCTTTTATGACATGAAGACTCAAGTAAGAATTATCAATGCTTGTTGTATCCTTCACAATTTCATTCGTGATGAGTGTCCACATGATGCACTATTGGATGAAGTAGATTAAGAGTTGGAAGATGCTTTAGATAATGATTCATATGATTCTAATGAAGAATAAATCACAGCAGTGAGGGCAACCGATGAGTGGACTTTATTTAGAGATAATTTAGCTAAGGAAATGTTTGAACAATATAAAGCAATTCTAGCTCGTAGAGCTCGGAGTTAGTTCTGTATTTTCTGTTAGATCTGCTCTTGTAACTGGAACCAGCATTGCTCTTAGTTATTGTTTGTCTCAGTAACGAAATCAACATTGCTCGTACTTATTTATTCTCTTGTGCTGCAACTTTGGTTGAATTTTCTTGTGTTAGATTCTTGTTTCCTGGTCCTTTTAAGAACCTTCACAATTGATGTTGTATGGTTTGGTACCCTGCTGGTTTACTCAGTTTGTAGCCTTAATCAAGTGCTGTAAATTCTGCAGCAGACAGTTCTGCAAATTCTGTAGTAGACAGTTAGTTTTGTATGACATTTGTTGTCTCTATTTTTATACTGCTGGTGTATGCTTGCTTGTACTTATGTTTTTCCCCTTATTCTAGCAATAGATACTAATGATGTGTTACTCATAGCCGCATACTGGTAAGGTTTTAGAAACACTGATGTTAGTAACATGTGACCCTTACAATGGTCAACTCAATGTTATATGAAGTTTGTTGAACACTGATAAGGTATAAAGTGATTGAAACTCTTCTTGGTTGTTGTCACTGCTGGATTTCATAGTTAGGGTATTTATTGCGTTGCTCTATTTGGAGAGTTTGACCAAGTGTAGTAGCTGTTTATGTTTCAGGGTTCATTTGTTTGAGTGGCCTGCTGAAGTGATCTGCCTGTTTGTTCTTATTGTTGTAGGAATGAAGCGACAGGGAAGTATTTTACCCGGTAAATCTCGTGTTTATTGCCAATGGGATTCACAGATGGACAAGATTTTAAGTCGGGTGTTACTGGATCAAATAGTTCAAGGAAATAAGGGCGATGGAGACTGGAAGACGCAAGCATACCAAGCAGTTGTGGATCAACTTCGCACTGACTTGGAAATCAATGTGACTAGAGATAATATCCAGAATCGACTTCGAGCATGGAAGAAACGCTATGCAGTGATAGCTGATGTTCAAAAGCGAAGCGAATTGAACTTGTGGGATGAAGATAAGAAGATGATCGTAGTTACAGCTGGTAATATGAGGATTGGCTATCTTACTGCAATGTAAGATTCTTTTCCTCTTATGCTCTATTGTGATTTGTGACACGACTTCATATATAGTGATGGGAGTTGGATAGCTGAAGCGTAGGTTTCTTTCAATGGTTAGATTTAAGTAGAAGGAGAAGGAAATGGTACAAGGCGGGCAGGGTGTATTTTAGCTCTTTAAGATGAGAGCCCCAGCCTGAAAGTTTATTTATGAAGGTTCCTCCAGAATTTGTGTCCTGTATAGTGGTGTAGGTGGTTGGTAGTTTCCTTATGGTTGATTTGCTTCTTTTAATCCATGAGGTCTATTTGTCCTTGGACGGCAATTTCAGATGTGTTTATAAGAAGAGTATTAAAGGACGAACTAAACTAGTACTAGTTAAAAATAATGTCTTTGCGGGGTGGTAATAAAGGGTACCATTTGGAGGGAAATTTTAATGGTTTGTGTGGGGTTAAAAATAATGTCTTTGAGGTTGCTTTTGTTTTTGTAGGATCACCGTGATGCACATTCTTATGCGAACACATATCGAGAATTGAGATGATTTAGTCTTGTTGTGTCCAAAAGATAGAGCTGTGGGAGATGGGGCAGAGCATTATTCAGAAGCTAATGCATCCATGGGTGATGAAGATGACATGGAGGACGCCGGATCATCATCTACTTTTGCCAACTCGAGTGCACATGACTCAAAATCTCAAGGGAAGAAGCCTATTGGTGAAGTCAGTTCTGAATTGCGAAAGAGAGCTAAGAAGGACAGTCAAGTTGGGATGCATTGTATATGGTAGCTAACTCATTAACTAGCTACTTAAAAAGTAAGAAGAAGGAATAAGAACCAAAGTATACTCGGAAAGAGATCTATGATGTGATATGCCAGATACCGGGGTTGACGCATATGTAGGTTGCTAAAGCTGTGATGAAGTATCGATGTGGTGATCCTAAGTAGTTTATGTTGCTGCTGGAAATTCCAAAGGAAGATAGAAGAATCTTTGTTGAGTGTTTTCTTGGTGAGCCTTAGTTGGGTTTGCTTTGTAAAGCCTGAAACTTTGAAGACCCACCTTTTTGCTAGATGAATCATTGACATTTCTAGATCCATCTATTAATCACAGGCTATGTTCTGGATTATATGTAGCCAAGCTTTACTTTCTCAATAGTATCTCTAGTAGTCTTTTTTTTTTGTTTCATTGGCCATGTTTCATATGGAATTTTTCATTAAGCAGTAGTCATTGGTGCCATTTTCCTCTGGTTCTCTCGTATGTGTAGTGTGACCAAAAGTGAACAGAATGAGTAGGTATGGGATTGCAAGGGGATAGTTGTCTTTCTATATATATAGTGAAGTGATTAAGGAGATCACTGCACGCATTAGTGCTATTGAAAAGCAAAATAAAAAATAATTAGTTGAAATACCTAAAAGTTGCAACTATATATCCAAACGGTAGAATTTACATCTTTGGTATTTGAAATCATGTATTTGAAATACACATCTATCCAAACAATGAATTTTAAATCCTACGTATTTGAAATACATACATTTCAAATATTTGTAATTCAAATCGATATCTCTTGGTTGACTCAAATTTGCATTAATGTAGATGTTGTTCGGGGGTAACCGTTTGACTTCGAGAGCAAGTTTGTCAATGTTCGTCTAGTCAAATCGATATCTCTTGGTTGACTCAAATTTGCATTGAAAATTAGAGATAAGAAGCGTTTGTGGAAAAGATAAAGAGGAACGGTTTAGTTGACCCAGTTTACTTAACTAAATAGTTAAAACTTACAGATTCGAACGTGTTTGACCATATTCAATTTAAATATAGGCACAAGAACCCCCTTAGGAGGACCAGTTACGAGTTAGGTTTCGAGGTCGCTCGACCAATGATTATTATTGTTATTATAATTAATTATTATTTGAGCATTATTATAAAATAATTATTTTTATTAAAATATATTCATTATTATTATATATTGATTTTATTTTTATTATTTTATGATAATACTTTATAAATGTAATAAATCTATATTATATTAATATAATTACTAACTTTTTAGTCTATTTGCACTCCCTACTTTTTCATCCAAACAACAATTTACCCCTCCACTTACACCCCCACCAAGTTGCACCCCCAACCTTTTACCCCTCAACTTGCACCCCACTCGAACTTGCACCCCCCTTGTTGCTAAAGAGAGCATTCCTATGTATAACCTTATGGTGAGTAACCATGCATAACCCAATCACAATCCGCCACATCAGCGCCTTTTCTCTCTCTTAGATAGCCTTTAAATTTTTCCCTTTAATTTTTAACGGATGATTTCTCACTCGTTTTAAGTGAGAATTTAAATTTTTTTACACAATTAGATCATATTAATTGTGCTCTTCAACATGATATCTACTTTGATATATTTTTTAAACAAAAAAATTGAGCCATTTTTACCGGTATATACCATATGGTATTGACTTGTATTAAATAAGAGCATATCATAAGGTATGAAAAAGCTTACCATGGTATATGAACACACCAAGAGTGTAGGATGATTGAATACATGATAGTAGGAGTATACTAGTTGTCATTTACGACTTTCAACATTGTGTACCACAAGATACCACCCGTACCAGGGTGGTATTGGGTGGTACTTTTTGGTCCTGTATTTTTTTCACCCAAAAATTTGTAGATCCAATAGATCATGATGAACTCGTTCCTTCTGTGCAAAAATTTTCAAAAACAACTTAAAAACGAAGAAGGTACCATATGATATGCAGTTGGTAACGAGAGGCAATAAACTTTTTTTTCTAAAAAAATATTGAAAATGGATCTTATTTTGTAGAGCACAACGAACTCGTTCTATCTGTGCAAAAAAAAAAAATTAATCCAAGTAAAACAAAGAAGATATGAGTCGATTAAGAAAACAAGGAAAAATAAAAATGTTTTTAATTTTCCACCTTTAAATCTGGATTTTCTAGGCCCACTTAAATCTGATTGCAAAGATTTAGTTACTCATAGTGAGTAACCATGGGGTTACTGACGGGAACTTGAGTCATCCTAAAAAGAGTTATTTCTTGTCTTGGCGATTAAAACGAATAAGATATGAGCCGATTAAGAAAACAAGAAAAAATAAAATGTCTTTAATTTTTCGCCCTTAAATCTGAATTTCCAGGGTTCACTTAAATTTGATTGCGGAGATTTAGTTACTCATAGTGAGTAACCATGGGTTTACTAACGGGAACTTGAGCCATTCTGAAAAGAGTTATTTCTTGTCTTGACGAGGAAGATGAGACGAGGTGGAGATTAAAAATAATTATTTTACTTATTTTAATTTTTAATCAAAACTTGGCTAGCTTGAGGTACAAAATGAGATTGTTGACTATCACATAGGGAGTTTAACAAAACCATTTAAAGTGGTAACCGACAGTGAAACTCAAAACTAATGCACTAAAATCGTTGCAGTGAAGGATCTTTTGCAAGGCGTTACCGATATCCCCTCTCATGTTTGTGTGAAGGATCTTTTACATCTCGAGCAAAGAACCTTAGTTTATGCAACCCCAACGAAACCACAGCCTGATTTCATTTATGCAATACAAATTAGCTAGTCCTACAATTCAAAGACATAACATTACATATAGAAAGATGTCAAACTAGAAACTTTCTACATTACACTCAAAACTATGGTATACAGAGATGGGGAATATAATCTCCATCCCTAGCTAGCTAGCTAAAAACACGTAGACAAACACAACGCATACACAAAATCCAGCTAGACCTGTAGAGGTTTTTCTTGCATTTCTCGCCTCAACGAGTAGGCACCGTCAATGGCGTCCTCGATGCTCAAGAAGAAGAAGCCCTTTCCGACCTTCTCCACGAACTTTGACTTCAGCATCTTCTCCATAACCCCCAGCCTAGGGTTCACAAATGCCATCTGAGAAAAAGGGCAAAAGAAATGAGCAAACCATGCACATGCATGAGAGTTCCACCATATGCATTTGGTTGCGAATCGATATCATTAAACACGTGCTTACCCCTATTTTTCTCGATTGTAACATCCTTCTAGTCTCTAACAATGTCTCGAGTCCTGTCATGTCGATCGACGTGACGCCTACAAATAGAATATCATATTGTTAACTATAATTTATATCGAGCATAACCTAATTTCTCCAGTTACGAATATGAATAAAACGTAAAAACATATATCGTCGTAAATGTTGTCGCGTTCTCACCCGACAGTTCCAGTATAACGAACTCGACAGTATCCCCTTTATTATCAGGGTTCTCGTCCTCATCTTGAATCCACCTCAGAACCCTGCAAAGAATATAATTCAAGGATAGGAACATGAATATACAAGTTTTTCAAATTTGTTTCGAACTAAGGGGAAAATGGAATTAAACTATTGATTAATTGTTATGACCTTTCTCTAATGTAGTTTGCATTAGCATAGTAAATGGGCGAACCAAGTTGCAAGGCGAGCAACCCTGGCGCTCTGGTGCCATCTGGATACTGCTCCATGTCACGGTACAACGTGGTTCCAGGCATCTTCCCTAGCTTGCAAGTTGCTGGTCTTGCCACGTACAGAAGCGCTCTCAACAATGCCAGCCCAATCTAAAGGGAGAGAAAAACAAAGTTTTGTTAGTGTCATTGAACTCGAGCTGTTGTGAAACGTTCATTTTTTTTTTTAGGTACCGATAGCATGAGGCCGTAGTCCATGGAGAGGAAGGTGACGCCGAGGAAGCCAGCCATACAGATTAGGAAGTCGAATTTGTCGACCTTGAAGAGGTGGTGCATTTCTTCGTAATCGATGAGGCCGAGCATCGCGGACATGATGATGGCGGCTAGGGCAACCAGAGGTGTGTACTTGAAGACGGGAGCGAGGAAGAGGAGGGTGAACATCATGCATATCGCCATTACAATGTTGGACAGTGCACTCTTGCACCCGGCGTTGAAGTTCACCGCAGTCTTTGAGAACGGGCCTTTAGAAAGAGAGTGAAATCTAGTTAAGTTCGGGTATTGTTTTGTAATAAAATTCGGTGAGGGTCCAGGGATGTGCAACGGTTTGATTTGGTGCGGACCAGATGGCATGTCTAAACCAGATCACTAGTTCGATTATAATGCAGAACGGTCATTGATCGCATGAATTCTATAATTGTTGAAGAAAAATGGACTAAATTGATATTTAGGTCGGGCTAAAACAGACCGATATGCAATCATAACTTAGTGAGGAGAGTGCAACGGTTTGATCCGTACGCCTAAACCAGATCATATCGAACTGAATATAATGCGACTTGATCATTGATCTCATGAATTTATAAATATTGAAGAAAAATAGACCAAATTGACATTTCGACTGGACCAAACCCAACCAATTGCAATGATGATCTGTTCCTTAGTTCTAAGATTTCTTTTAATATTGGATCATGGTTCTCGTGATTTCATCCGGTCCATACCAGACCATTGCACACTCCTAACTGGAAAAAGTACAATTTCAATCCTCGATTTTCATTTAAACCCCCCAACTTAATATCATAGTGCCGAACAAACTAGAGCCACGCATATTTAGGTTTGGATGTTCAGGTTCGGTTCAACGGGTTAATAAAAACCCAATTTGTCGGTTAATGGGTATTCGATAGTTAAAATGGAACGAATAAAATGGTCTCGGTTGTGGATTTAGGCTATCTTTCGGGTTTCAGAGTAACCGCAAACCAAACCAAATTTGGAAATAATCAAATATCCAACTCTACCATGTGATTCCAACTCCAAGGTCCAACCAAATTATGGACCAACCCCAATGGGTTATTAGGTTCAA